AGTTTAGCTGCAAGCCTTTTAGGGTCAATTTCGACAAGCTTTGCACATTGTACAGAACGACATTTCTGCAGCTATGGACGTCAGTTTGAGTCTCAACTGGATTTAATATAGACAGAGCTGTTCTAGCACAGGATTTGCTTTTATCTAAAGCATCCACTGTAACTGGGTTGATGTTTAGAGGCTTTTTCTTGCTGAAAGGTGAATATAGTGCACCCTTTGACAGGTTTTCTTCTGGGACTATTTAGCTCCATCTTACTTAAAAATAACCAGCTTTCTTGTCCCTGCTGAAGAATAGCAACAGCTGAACATAATGGTGCTGCTACACTGTTTCACCATGTCTTCAGGGTAAGATGCAGAGTAAGTTTCCCATCAAACAGAATTTTGCACAAAGTCAAATTTAGTCTCATCTGCCCAGAGCACCTTCTTGCACATTTCTGACCTATACTATGCAGGCAAAAGGTAGCATTAAATTTGATTCTGGGGTCTCAAAGTAAAAACGGCTGAGTGCCGTTTGACAATATAATTTTGAAAACCACCAAATTTATGTGTATGTGCTCCTTTTTTTTTTGTTGGTTTCTCATGTTAAATAAAAATTATTTGGAAACACTTATGGTTATATCAGGACAAAAAGTGAAAAAAATATATATATCATTTGAATACTTTTGTAAGGCACTGTATCAACTGAAACTTCCCAAGATGCCACAAGAATGTGAACTTCTATCTTGGCATCTCTACAAATGGACTGGGCATCTGATTGGGCTCTATTTTGAGGCGAGCAGAACAGGCTGCAGAGGTCAACTTCAAGTCAAACAAACCAAATGTCATCTTAAAGAACAGCGTCTCACCATGAGCCATTTTTTCCATATCAGGGCTTAATTGCTGCCACAAGGGACTGTGATTACCCGACATACCAGGACTTTAACGGTAGAAATCCCACATAATGAAGGGAAAAAAAGTCCCAATATGAGTGCATGCCAACTTCAAAGACAGTCTTGCAACTGTAGGAGATATGTATTAAGTAAACTACTTGGTAGAGAGAGCCAAAGTTGGCTGTACAGCAGCAGGTCCTTTGAAGCCAAAATACACGGGGCAGATGTGCTTTAGACCAAGTTATTTTGGATAACTGCAGCGAACCAAACAGAGAACATTAGATGCCCTTTGGATCCATCCCTTAAGTGGTCCACTCCCCCTCCAACACACACATACATTTCCCTGCATGAATGCACACACTCTGCGACTAAGGGGGGAAGGTGGGAGAGAGCAAAAAGGAAGCGATCCTGGCTGGTCACACCCTCTACAAATAACAATCTGCACACGCCACCTCTGGACTGAACAGTCTGGCTGGAGGGAAAACAAACAGACAGAAAATAGGACATAGTTGGAAAAATTATGCCTGGTGCCGTCTGGTAGCTCTCAGGTCTTACAGCCCGACTGCTAAAGCTACTGTTCACACCACAGACGCTGATCTAATTTAAAAAGCATGGCTGTAAAAACACTGGTAACCAGAACGGCTGTCTCCTCTTGAAAAAAAAAAACCCTTCACTTTTATACCAGCACTCTTTACCAGAGACATTTTGAGTTTCACTGCTTCAAATCAAAGCTAAAGAGAAAACATTCACCGACTGAAACATGTCAACAAAACTAAGTGAATATTTTTCTGCTTGAGATTTGTACTGCTAATCAGGAGCAACTCATCTTTAGTCTTGAGAAAAAGTACATAAAGTGGGCATAAATGTAAAATATGTTTTACAAATAAATGTAATTCATTACATAGGCCTAAGAATTAGGTAGATTGAACCTCAAAGGAATAAAATGTCATGAATAATATAACCAATATTTTAACCAATGGGTTAAAAATCACATGCGCCAAATGTTGAGCCACTTGCATGGCTCAACATTTAGCAGTGATGTTATCTTCTGTACGGAATTATCAACCTTTCATTAGTGTAAAATAGTTTTGCATCCAATCTGTTGTTTCTTTAGTGATTTCAGGCTTACAGACATTTGTTTCCGGACAGCTGCTACTATATCTTAAGGTCTTACTGCAGCTTTTTAAACTAGCTTAGGTCTGGACTTTGACGAGGCAACACATTGGTTCTTCGTTTTTTCAGGCACTCTGTTGTAGATTTGCATTTATGTTTACGATCAGTGTCCTGTTGATGACCCAGATTGAGCCAGCTGTAAAACAGTCCGCCTTGCATTTTTCACTAAAAGGCTTTATACCTAAAAGTTCACGCTAGACTCACAAAGCTAGGTGGCCAATTCATCACTCCTCCGAGCTGCAATTTGTTCTCTCCAGACATCACGCTGTCCATTAGGGGCCACCATCTCTACTTTGAATTTATGTGGACCGAGGATGTAGAACAATTGTGACTTATTCAGATGCAACTTTGCAAACCCGAGCTGTGCTATCTTACTCTTTACAGAGGAGACTTTGTTTTAAATCAGTCATACTTGCTCAGTCTCTAATTATCAGTTTATGAACGTTAACATTTAATTACACTTTTAATTTACAAGCACCTTTCAAAAGACCCAAGGGCTCTTAAGAGAGAAAACAATAGAGAGAATAATTACTTGCTGAAACAATTAAAGTGTAAAAATATCAATTAACAACTGCATGCCTCACCTCCCATGACAGCCAGGTGTCTGGTAGTTAACATGACAACTGGTCCCGATAGTCTATAACAAATGAGTCACCTGCAGGCCATGTTCTAACAATAGAGCTCGTCACCATGGAGCTCTGTGGAAAAACATTTATTTAGTTCTGCTGCTAATCTTTTCTAGACTGAAAGTGGGATGTTTCATATTTGAAGTCAAAACAGACAATATCACAACTGCTAAGAATAACATTCCAAAGATATCTTAATCCCCCTGCATTCAATTTGTTGCAAACTTTCTACTAAAGCTCCTAAATGCATCACTCGATCTTCCATTGTCCATCCAGAAAGCTGAGGGAACAGACTGTTTACAAGCTAAGGCTTAAAGTAAATATACAAATTGGATTAAAATTATGAGGAAGGGGTATTAAATGCGCTGGACTTTTCTGGTGGCGATGTAGAAAACCGACGCTGCAGCACCAAAACATTGAAGAACGTCAGACATCTGATGAGGTTTGCAAACTCAAGAAAAATAATGAATTGTCTTGTGTGACTATCTTTTCAAATCGTCATCCCATGAGCGAATCAATAAAAAATATATATATTCTAAAATATGATTTTATACAACTATTGTATGTTGTTAAGAACAACATTTGCTCTACTTAATTTACCTCATGAAGTAAAAATGCCTATGTATGATATGATAGGAAAGTTTATTTTATTTTTTTATTTGAGCAGTATTGCTTTTTTTGATGGCTTAATCTGGAAGTATTAGGGTACCTTGGAAGAAAAAAGAACACAGTGAGAAAGTTTTATTAGTTTTTACCCTTTTTCAAGTCATAAACATGAGGAAACAAAGTCCAAATTCTACAGCTTCGCTTCTGTCAGTCTGCTCTAGGGCAGCTGTGGCTACACTGTAATTTATCACCGTCAGTTTTTACAACAGGTAAAACAAATAAATAAATGATGTAGTGCAAAGCGCTTTGAAGTCCTCAGACTTGATAAAGCTGTAAACAAATGCAGGTTAGTTACCATTTTGCACAGACTGGACAAACGTTTCAGTCTGCAGGTGTTCAAACTGAGCAGCCACAAACTTCAAAAGACTTGCAAACTGTAACTGAAGTGAAATGTAGTTCTTCATATTATTGAACAATGGGGTCTGAATACAGTCATATGTCACATTTTTCAGATTCTCTTAATAACTGAAACTTGAGATGGTTTATCAAGCATAATTCCAAAACAGTATACTAAAGTTTGTGGCTGAAATCAAACAAAATGAAAGCACTCTGCATTTTGATACAGAAGCAAAAACATGTTTTAAATGTTTTTGCTACATATTAAATGCAAATTTAATATGTAGTGTTGATTGGTGCTTACATTCCTGAATTAAACAAGGCCATTAATGAACACCAGAGAAACTTAGCTCATCCTGTTATTTGTGGCTCTCTATTTGACACTGAACAATAGATGAACACTGTGTTTTTTCTGGGACATACTTTAGACACTTCATGCAGTGAGAGTCTTATTTCCTTTCAAAATTAGACCTGAGTGGGTGTGGGAGAAGGAAGTCACTGTGGCACACATGTAGAAACTGTCATCTTTGAATGAATGAAAAATATTTTCACAATGTTGAAGAAATGTTTCTACTCCTTCTTTCCGAAACAAACCTGTTCAGTAACAAGTTAGTCTTGTCATTGCAGTTTAAAGGGCTAGGCCAAAGAAAAATAATTAATCATATCCAGAGTGGTAATAGGACAGCTATAAATGACCGCAGTTACAAACACAACACAACAACAAAGGATCACTTTGCAGCGACACAAATATTAAAATATGTTAAGGAGAGTAGTTGTTCGGGGAAATTAGTGGACTTCAATTTGAGAAACAGGCAGATCCTCTCGGGTTTACTGTCCAGAGCTGCTGAATTAGACACTAAAAGCTCTAACCGACACTGGGGATCAGTTTGCACTTTCATCACAGATGGCAGAGGTGAGCGGTCGGAGCCGCTGTCCCACCTGAACAGCGTAATGTTACATCTTCTCAATCCTGACATCATGCTTCCACAAACCCGCTGACGGAGAGCCTGAATAGACTGGGTGGAGTCGCACATTTTTCAAACAGGCGTCACCTGTTCGGTTTGAAAGCCAAAGGAAATGCGAGCCGTGGCTCCGAAACTGTACAATGGACACAACCGAGATCAAACAAAAACAAGTAGAAATGAATTTTGAAACGGTGACAATAGTTTCTCGGAGTTGCACGCACGTCAACTATTAGCACCTGTTGATGCTCCGTCTGACCCCTCTTACAAGCCATTTCAGGCCAAATAATTATTAAATGCTAATATTTTCTAAGCGCGAGTCCTTCTGAGTCCGCACAGCGGGGTTGTAAAGGTGAGTGACCGCTTACCTGAGTTTTAAGTTGGCCATGAATTCCTCCATCGACACGTTGTCCAAAAGCACAAAGTCTGCCTTCCCAAACTCCAAGCTTTCGTGCTCTGCCATGCTGCCGCCGTGTTGTTTTTGCTGAAACAAGTAGCGAAAAAAATATTTGAAGAGCTTGTAAAGTGCCTAGAAGAAGGTGAGCATTGGCGGTCTCTTCCTCAGAGAACGCTCCGCATTTTGATTTGTTTGGCAAGTCAAACTCTACGTCCACTCATAATAAATTAAGCTGGATCATAGCTTTAAAAGCCTCTCCTCCCGTTCGCGAAACGCTGTTCTCCTTTAGCAGCTCTGTTTATCCGCAAGGAAAAAAGCGTCATGTCCATACAAACTTCCCTGCTCTTTCCTGAAGTCGTCCCGTTACAGCGTGCGCGAGCTCCAATCGTTTTCAGCTCGGCTTCACTTCACGCTGCGGGGATCGACTCAAACAGACGCAGCGCGAACGTCCGGGTCCGCACGTCAATGTGGCCGCCATATTGGGACAGGCAAAATTAACAACGATGGTTCTGTTGCCGTTTGGGAATTTGTGTGAGATTTACAAAACTCCTCGAACAATTCCAGGATTTTGAGACTTTAAAAAGTGGGATTACAAAAGAAAAAAAAATTATTTGCACCTTTTTAATGTGTTGGGCGTGAACATTTTATATAGCTATATATGTATTCTATAAATAAATTCTATAAATTCTATAAATAGGATAGTTGTGGAAAACTTATCTCATACTTTGTTGATGTACTGTTTGGAGTATCTTAATATCCAGATTCCCTTTATCACAAAGGTTCTCAAAATATCTTAGATTTTGTGGATCATCTCTTGACCACAGACCTTCTGTCAAATTTCTATAAATTTCTATCAAGTTTTCTTCAAGACAAACCATGCTTTTATTGAATTTGATGTATGCTTCAGTGACGCTGAATGGAAAACAATCTCTCTTCCTCACATTTTGGGTCAAAACTGACTGATATTTACAACAATTTAGGTTTTTATCTGATTTGAGAGTCTAATCAAATCTAAAGAAAAAATACCATTGTGCCACTGGTGTGCATAGAACAGAAGAGACTGTTTTATATTGTAGATTGCAACTTCACCTCTTTTAGTATCAGATTTTCAGAAGTGTTGTTGTTTTTACCTCAGTTAAAAATTCAGTTTTAGTAATGTCACACCTTTTCTACATTTCCTCAGAATTACTGAATTCTGAGGAAATAAATTACAGTAAAAAAAAAGTCTTTACTCTATTGGAGTTTATTTGTAGTGTTGCAAAATGTTTGAATACTTCGCTTCACCAGAAAATCTTAATTGTGGGATCCCTCTGATTGTTTGAAGTCGCTCTACAATCAGTGGTAAGCAGTGACCTGACAAATGACCAAATTTAAGGAAAATCCTTACTGGACAATCAGTAAGCATTATTTCAGGTTAATCGGATTCACAAATATTGCGAGCTCAAGAAGATCGCGAAATGAAATCAAAAGCCACAAGGTAGTCTAATAGAAGGGAATTCCAAGCAGGATTGTTTCATATTATTTGTGTAATATGTATTTTTCAGTTTTTTATTTATTTTTTTGTATCTGAATTGTCACTAGTTCTTAACTGAAAATTACAGAAGGTCAGTTGAATGTTTATGTGAGTGTTTCTCATAATGAGTGTTTCTCTTATGGCAACGGTCACTCATTCAGATCTTATTAGATCTAAGTCTGCAAACATAAGGGTATCGCCCACCAAGGTCAATTTGCCACGTTCAATATGGCAGACCAGTGGACCTGAATGGGCTGGAAAGACCATTTTGCGTCGATTCCTCAACGTTTGTATACGTATCACCCGCCCCGCCCCCTGCACCCCTCAGCCAATAGGATTGCAGCTTTGTTGAAGGCGCCCCGCCCACACAGTGCAGAGGTGTTTTGGGTAGACTTGGGCCAGACTGGGCATTGTGTCAGCCTGAAAACATCGCAAATATTCCCAAAGACCACTACTCCACAGCAATGACAAAGCCTGCACAAAAAAAGAGAGGGAAAACCGCATTATTATTTTTATTTTATGATGTTCTCTGTTACCATAAAAGGAAGCGAAGTGGAGTTCATCAAAAGGCGTATTACTGGGAAATAAATTGATGTATATCAGAAGATACTAAGTTACCTCAATCTGAACCAGTCCTTCAAAATGATTTAAAGCTGATAGGTCAAAGCAACTGGGCTCACAGTGATTTTAGTACGCCCCCTCGTGTACAATGCATGCAAGTTCACGTCTGGGCAATACAAGGCACAATGTGCTTTACAGAAAAGTTAATAAAGGAAAGGTAAGCTGCAATAAAAGAAACAAGATAAGTAAAAAAAAATAACACAAATATTTATGGATCACTTTTAAAGACAAAACGTAAATTCTTATAGCATGAGGAAATTAACATAAAATAATGGATCAGGGATCAGCATTTTAGGGCGATATAGCTGCTTACATGTAAAATAAAAATTGGTATAGGCAGGATTGAGTCCTGCATTTTATTTGTAATGAATTGCTTATCTCCAGTTTTTAAATTCAAGCAGTTACTGTCTCGTTTTTTTTTTTTAACAATAAACAGAAAACAAACATCTCAGACAACAAACATCTGATTCAAAGAAAACTAAAGGAAATGGACTTTCATTCAACTGAAAATATATTGTTTTCACCAAACTTACCACCAGAGGGCGGCAGAGGAACGGGTTATGACTTGCATTTAAAATCAAATATTTAGTGCAATTAAAATTTAAATTGCTATGTAACTGGTACACATTAAAGTAACAACCATACGTTTGCTGTAGGCCTTTGTTTGAGAATGTTTAATTGAAATGTGTGCCAAACACATGTGCAGTTGCCAAATCCTTATGTCATAAGACGATATCACGGTGAAAGGTGCAGGTCAGTGACACTTGGGACTGAGCTCACTCTTTGTTGCTTATCATTTGACACTTGGCGATTATTATTTGTTGTGTTGGAGCCGTTGCCATGATTTTTTATATCTACAATCTGATTTCCCATCTTTAATCTTGAGCAGTTAAGGTCATATAATTGGAGTTGTTGTTGTATTTTACCATTTATTGTACACAGAGCATTTCTTCCATTATCATTTTATAGGGCAAATCTAAGTGAACTGGTAAGAAACAGTCTTCCTTCCAGTATGAAATTAAAATTAAGCCTATTTATTTGTTCCTTCAATGAGACAGTTCTAAAAAAAACCCTTCACAATTAAATATTATTCTCACACTGAAATAAAGCAATTAACTCAAACATAAAGAAAAGAGGAAACTCTTTAACCTTATTTATGTATTTTGATTCTAAAGGAAATTAAATTCCCATTCCTGCAAAGCTTGTGTGTTCAGTCTCTGAACACATAAACATACACGAGATGCTGGACACGATGTGATTTGGCAGCCGTTGCTGTTGCTGCAGCGAGTTGATCAGAGGCTTTTGTTTCCATGTGATAAGGATGACACCACTGGATTCTTTCCACTCCTCGGTGTATGCAGATCTACCGGCTCGTGTTAGAGTAAACAGCTTGCTCATGGTTGTTTTTAGATCAGATGCTGGCGGCCTGCTGGACCTGGATAGACTTGAGCCCATAAGAGAAGCCCCACATGGATGTTTTACTCATTGACAAAAACAAATGGGAAGAGAGCCTACATTTTTTTTCACCTATCTTATTGTGACCTTTTATAATATAACAGAAAATATATTAAATAAGACTGAATAATTAGGGTTGTGTTGTGTGTCAGGAATCCTAAAATGTGCCTCCAGATATCAATATACATTAGATATTCTGTTGTTTTTATGATTTATAGAAGAAGGAGGGATTATCTGTTTGCTATGTAGAATATTTACACTTAATTAATGACAGCATTTATTATTATTATATTTACAATTAATATACTTAAACAAAAGGAAGACAAAAAAACTAATTAGAAAACATAACTAAGCTAAATTTACAGAGAACATTGTCTGAATTACACGTTGGATGTTCAATAGTGTCTAAACTGAATAAAGATTGTACTTTCATAAATTTTACTGGTCTCCCTGTGAAATTTAAACAAAGGGCTTTGTGGCATAAAAAGGCAAGTAGCCATCTTGTTACTAACTTCAAGAGAGTCCAAAGACTTCTCACTTTGGATTCAGAATCAATAAACATGTTTGAAGAATAAGTGAGAGAAGCTGAGTGACTCTGACTTGCTTCGACTTCTTCTTGGTGTGTCTGTCGTACCGTTTCTCTCTCTACTTTTGGTCTCAAAACTCAGCAGCTCACATGGAACTGGAGGTCCCATGTTGATAATGAATGAGTCATCATGTGGAGCTGATCAACCAATGGGATCCAGATTTTGGGAAACATCTGACCCTGGCACTAGTCAGCCACAAAGATAAGTTGGCGGTTAGAGTTGGTTGTGGGTAAATTGGTCAAATCTGAGCTCTGGGAAATTGCTGGATGCATCTCCACTTATTTATGCATAACTTATGTTTCCCAACAAATGTTAGCATAACTGATTATTATCATAGAAAGGAAAGAGGCTAAAAGGTGAGCTTAATAAGGTTTGTCAACAAATTAGAGTTAAGACATTTTGTTAAAATATTTCCACTCCTTTGAAAGAAATGCAACTTTTATGTTCAGAAGCTCATTTCAGTTCATTCAGCACATAAATAACTGAAATGGAGAAATTTAAACTGTGCTTGAATTAGATTTAAATGCCTGACAAACTAATTATAATGGGTTTACGGAAATGTAAAACCAAGAAAAAAATTGATCACACAGATTTGAAGTCAACCAAGAACTCCTAAATATGTTATTTGAAAGTTGAAGGCTATTCATTTGTGCATAAAATGTTCATGAATTAATATGTTTATGTAATCACCCCTTTGCGAGTTGAATGCTCCGTTCTACTTGGCATGTTGTTATCGCCCGCTATCTACTTGAGTTTACTGATGAATGAAAGGTCTAGTGAGAAGGTCAGGTGAAACTTATTTCATAACCCGTGTCATATTTGTGTGGGTCATAAGGCCAAAAACAGCGGATCTAAATATGGTCACGAAGTCGGGTTGTATACCCAACACAGGTTGGCTTACGCCCATGTACACATAGTCCTGGTTAAACACACTGCAGCGCAACGGATCAAACGTGTGAAAGGCATATAACGATGTCTGAAAACTGACAAGACATGATATTGTGCAACTGATGTGAACTCTCTCAAAGAAATTCAGAGAGCTAGAAGGGAAATTTGCTCTGTCCAGCGAGTTCCTATGTCTGTCCCAGAGGAACGTATCTTAAATAAAGGCAGGCATTCTGATCAGAAATGTAAATTACCTCAACTGAATTAATCTAATGGGGAGGGACAGCTCTGATTTTGATGGTTATGGCAGTAGTTCTCCGACAGAACCACATTGTCTCTAAAAAGTAGAGACGATACCCTGAGGTACCCAAACCAGACACCTAGCTACAGCAATGCTGTGTTGGACTCCTCTGCAGAGTCCAACTTGTACCAAAAACATGTCTGAATTTCACTCACAGCTCTTGCTGTGGTTATACAATATCCAAAATCCAATCAACAAACATTGCTTTATGCAGAGCCTTTCCTTTAAACATAATACAGTACTACTTCACAATACCGATCACAGATTAGAGAGATTTTCAGAACAGAAATAACTTTATGCGTTTAGATCTCTCTAATCACCTTACAGATGCTGGCAGGGATTTAAAAAACAATTGCTTCAGAGAAATAGCTTAGGTATTCTCAACATTAAGCTTTAGCTTGGCCCTGTTGTAACTGATATACAATGCAATGGTAAAAATGATGTTGTAGCAAGTGGAATTTAATCAGCAGGTTGTTGATAATAGGTTGACGCTCCTGTGACACACCTAATTCTGTTGTATGCAATTCAACAAAAGCCTGTTAACCAGTCATAATTAAAATCAGGTGTTCTGAAGCAGGGCACCACCTAAAGCATTAAAGGGAAGGTGCCTTGAATTCCAGAGTTGGGAAACACTGACTTCGGTCAAGCATGAATACTCATTGGTCCAGTCAGTCCAGACCAGAATTTTCCATCCAGTCTGATGGCATCTGAGCAACTAAGCAAAGAAAAATACGGAGGAATGTCAGTCTTTAAATCTATAGAAATCCCAAATGACTTGAAATTTAAAAATTAAGTATTAAGATGGCCATATAAAGCATTGACTAAGAGAACTCAATTATTTTATAGATTTTAATTAGAAATAAATGGAAATCTTTCTAAATTCTGTCCACCACATAAAATCTTCCGAGGTTGAAAAATCACATCGAGCAAAGTCTATAAGTAGTCAGCTATTAATAGCACTGCTTCAGGCTATTGGCCTCTAGCTGCGGGGGTTTCACATGCTTCGAATACTAGACAAAGAAGATCTTCGCTTCTCGGTTTACCCGCTGCAACCTCTACCTTACTGGGCTTTTAGCCAGAAATGGCCAGAAAACAATGTGGTCCACTCACTCATCTGCTGGAATAACTGTGCGACAAAACAGTTTGTACTCACAGGCAAATGAACAACATAGCCATAAGTGCAGCAAGCTTCTTTTCAACTGTCCGATGATGGAATGGCGGCTCTACCTGATCTCTTTGCCAGTGACAGTAGACCAGTAGCTCTGTGTTTCTTTGTTCATGTCTCTTTGCACAGATTTCATTAACAACCTTATAATGACCAAACACACAGAACAAAAAAAAAGAGACAAAAATAGCATTTTGCCTACAGGTGTTTCTGTTTTTATTAACAGTATTTACATTTATTTCAGTCAAAGTGTAGCTATAAAAATAACATTTTACATACTGCATGAGTTAGATAAACACAATAAAAACTACTGTGAACACATCTGGACCCTCGGCAGTCTCATTTGGCACTGTGCGAAGAACTGGCCTATTAAAACCACAAACAATGCACCCACTGGGGCTTAATAACACTCATTTACAATGACTTCGTCTTCAAGATGCTAGCTTTGAGACAAGGCGCGCAAATACTCTGATGGACTGACAGCAAACTTGGGCCCAGTGGGGCTGCAGCTTGTTGAAAATTATGCCCTTTTTCTTTGTATTTCTTACAAATAATGCACAAAACAGGAGGACTAAATTCAGCCTGGTCCAGAAAACTGAGCACAAGATCATTTTTTTTTTTTTTTTTACATTTGCAAAGGCTGAAATACAAAGTCTATCAGAAAATTCATGCAAAAAAAAAAAAAGAACTCCAGAGTCTAGCATTTGCTCAAAATTCCCAAACCAAACACAATTACAGTACCATCAAATGTAAGGTGCAAATATCAGTTGTGATCGTTCAAGTATTTAAACAAAACGCGCCTTTGGGAGGATTTGATACTATAAGGCATAGATGAACATCAGATTTCACTGTTATGTAAAAGCCTCTACATCTGACTCAAAACTGCTGGATCACTTTCAACTTCCTCTGTCCACTCTTATTCTCGACTTCTCTCTCATTTTCTGACACCCAATAACGGGCTGGGTGCCCTCCTCCGTCTCCCCCCACCTGCACATGGTTCCACCTTTTACCACTTGATGCCAAGTCTCATTTCAGCAGCACTTGGGCTGCTTCCCCAGGTCTCAATGGTAACTTTATTTAAATGTCCTGTTAGTAGCAGTTCCGAGGTTGTCTAATTTTCTATTACAGAAACCAAAATGAATGACAGAAGCTGGAAATTACATGCTACTGATGACGTCGGCTGAAATCTGCTCTGGTTCTGGGAGGTGTGAGAAGCTCATCTGCCATGATCCCATGGGAATACTAGGACATGGTTCATGGAGAATCCATGCCTTGTAGTCTTAAAGCAGCGGTTGCACCCGAAGGTCTCACTAGGCCACCTTGTATTTGCGCAGATCTAAGGGTTCTTTACTGGGCACGCACCAGTCATCAGCCTCCTGGCACACTTTGTAGTTCTTCAGAGCAGTTTTGTTGTACACTGGCAACCTTTCGATAGAGTCCGTGGAAAGAGCCTAGACGGACATATCAGAAAAACAAATTTACTAAATCAAAAGGAAGTTCACACCCGATTGTTTTGTGCCACAGTTCTATGTACAAAGTAGCTCACCTTCAAGTAGATGACAGCATCTGTGCCGAAACCCTCCATCGAGTAAAGCTGCAGATCCCCCTGGAAATACTTAGCGTAGAGACGAGAAATGGGAAGGCCGTAGCCAAATCCAGCCTGTAGAGAAAAGGGAAAGGCTTAAAATTTGTAGCACCTCATTTCAGAATCGCTTTTGTTGACTAGAGAGATAACGTCATAAAAAATGAGGTGAAAAATGCAATCACTACAGAGCAAAGTCTAAATAAAAGACTAAAAACATTTTTGAGAAGTACAAAGGCTGAGAGAATCTGTACATCTAAACCAAACCCTCCTTACCAAGGGTGCACTGGAGTGGTCGCTGATCTGTGGGGCAGGAGCAGTGGAGTACATGTAGCTGAAAAGGTTCTCGATCTTGCGAAACGGAACGCCGCCGCCTCTGTCGCTCACCTACAGGGGAACAGACAGAGCAACAGAAGACATGAGTGCTGACAGGAGATGAGAGCCCTGAAGAAGCCATCGCTGCCGTTACATGCACTATGTTTTAAAACAGAAAGTAGACCTGGCTCAGTGCTTATGGCTTTGAAATTTTTTCTTTTCGAGATGAAGTCATTATAGCTATTGTTGGTATTAGTTCAGTCTACCCTTTATTTCTCTTTCACAGCAAAGATACCCCTGATTCTGTTTGTTCAACTGGGCCAGTTGTAGCCAGATGACAGCAGGTGAAACCTGACGTTTCACTTGCTGATCCCTGTGAAAAGTTGGCTTGACAGTAAAAGCCTGATTCATATGGACTTATCTTATCGGAGAGATTACAGAAAGCGCTGTGCTGAAACGAGGACTCAATCGTTACATAAGTGGGACAGATCAAACATTCAGAGATCAAAAACAACTTCTGCTGGGAAATATTGGCTTCATTTAAAACTGAGAAGTTCACACAATGAAAGACAAAACTGATCAATTATTCACATTCAGATTTCTTCAGCGCAAAAATCCTTTGTACTACTATGTAAAACACAGAGAGGAGATAAAGATTTGGTGTCTTCCTGCTCCAAAATAAAAGGTCTTATTTGACCATGAAGCATATTCTTTACTGCACTTAGAAGTTGTAAAACTATTTGCATTCATCTTATTGAAGTAACCGCTGTAAATAGAAATGCAATTGTCCTGCACTTTAAACTTTGTCTCACCTTGATTGACATGTCCTCTCCACCGAGAGACACCATGACTTTAATGGGTGGGAGGCTGTTGCTGTTTTCATGAGTCTCAATGGTAGCTCTCATAGCATTCTACAAGAGGAAAAAACAGAAACTTTGATTTTTTTTTTTTTTTTTTTGATTGTTGTTAATTTTAGGCATATGCATGAATTAGAAGGCAGCATCTCCTACCTTGAAAAGCTCAAACAACATGTGGTAAAGGTGGGAGGGCACGTAAACGATGCTTATGGGGTGACTCTTCGTCTTGTCTGTGCAAAAGAAGAATAAAAATAATATGTACAGAGATCAGCTCTTCATTCATAATCTGCTACACACAGCTTCTAAGAAAACTTTTGCATAGCACCGAATCGTTAAAGTATATGAAACAAATCAAAGGAAAACTTACGGTTCATTTCTTGCAGAACCAAATCAGGAGAGCGGAGGTAATACTGGTCACACAACATCTTAGCACTGAGGAAGGCATCTGATGATAATGAAAAGGAACTTAATTTTAATTGCAGACAAAACAAAACACATTGTTTTTAAAGTGGCTGGAACATAATTTCAGCTACTTTAAAACCCATAAAGTAGCTTAAAAACAACAATGATTGCTATAAACTGTGGCCAGTTTAAGTATTTTGAGGCCTTAACTCAAGTTCAGACTCACCTTGGACTACATCTCCTACGTTGCATTGAGGGTCAATGCTTCCTATTGTGTTTGGGTGGACTGGGTTAGTGGTGCCATCAAACACAAGAGCTGCAGAAAACAAGAGAATAAGGGAAAATCAGAACTTCTTCACATTTTCTATTTCACCTACAAAGTTTTTGCAAGAAAAAAAGTTTTTAAATGTGTGAATGTCTTTTGCACAAAGACTCTTAGGCTTGGTCTTGCCTGTACAAAAGAAGAGTAAAAATAGCATTAAGTGATTTCCATGCAGTCATTCTGCTCTCCTCTTAGTTTGGAAAAACAAAATGTTACGAAAGACGTATAGGGCATTAAAAGTTGCCCGACACGACTGGTTCGATAGGGACGAGGTTATATAACTCTTGACGTTTCCCCTTCATGCAACAGCAGTTTTGAAACATTTCGCTTTGGATCAACGATAGTGTATGCTTCAGCAGTTTGTGTTTCGACATCGTGGATTATCCAGACACTCTGTGACAAACAAAACTAGACTGTGCAGGATTGTACCAGATGAAAAGGGGAAAAAAAACAGACACTCTTCATTCCATCTCTTATCTCCTTCTGCACCAGTTGTGCGGGTTTTACTGCACATACAAATTCAGCTGCAGCACAAATGCATATGGGCCTGAAAAATGTCAGCAGCTAAGCAGAGATAGGCTATCTGCGCTTATTAATGAAGAACATGCTGACGTATCAGTGGCCTTAACTGCTTTTTTCCTTTCTTTTGGCTCTTATCAATTGTGGGGTGTGAAGTTTGGAATAGACTTGTGTAAACTTAAATATGGGAATGTGTGTTCCCAATCCAAATGAGATAAGAAGCTAAACTCTCCCTTTGCTGTTATATCTACCCAATAATTCAATATTCATAGAAACAAATGCAACAAGGAATTATTGTCAGGACAAAACTGACATTTTAAAAACCTAGCTCAATAAATCTGTCCTCTGCTGAACTGTGGCATCCAAGTAAGGTCAATGCTGACTGAAAGAAAAATTAGGTAGGAACTTCTGTTACACTCGTTGTCTAAATCACCTCAGATTATAACTGTAATGGACATTTTTCTATATTTGCCTTTAACGTGAATGATTAGGTTGTTCATCAGGTAGGTGACAAATGAAAATTGGAACATGTCTCTCCAATTCTCTAACAAATATCTACAAAAAAAAATGCTTTGGCATAAAATAATAACAGTAATGAAAGTAACCCAACAACGAAAAATATGACAAAAAATTTAAAGAAACAAAACACAAAAAAACTAAATATAGCTGAATTTTGAAGCTGGTTGTGGGCTTACTGTGTTGGTTGATCAACATTCGTATGGAGATGCGGCTCAAGTAGAAGCGATCCAGAAAATACTGGATGTTCTGGTTGGTGACCACATCCTGGGGAAAAACCTCCTTGTATTCGATGACCCCCTGCGCCATGGTCGGCACCACGTCGTTGTGTCTGTTTCTGATGGTAACCAGGGCATCGACAAACCTGGGGAGAAAGTATACTCCTTCAGCTGTCGGGCTTTTAGCATCCTCCAGAAACAGATGCATTAATTTGGAAATTAGTCTTTACAAGAACGAAAGCCTTACTCTGCAAGCACTCTGTGGTCATCTGGATTCTTGTCTAGGAAGTCAAGGATCTCCACTAAACTCTGACTATACCTGAAAAAAAAAAAACAAACAAACAAACCCGTGAACAAACATAGGAGGCAGAGTAAGGCTGAAGGAAATGAAAGTTCATGAAGGAAGCAAAAATAGTGCAGTGAGAAAAACACAGGTCACATGGGCCTGTGACGGGGAAACTGGGCTAAAGTTCACAGCTCACAGCCACTCCCCACATCCTCCGCTCTGAGCAAGTTGGAGAGAGCACAACTCGGTCACAGGGCTTTGTTGTAATTCAGCGTGTTACGCAACTAATGAGGGCGGATCAACCGCCCCAGGTTGTGGTAAACAACAGCCTCTGTGATTGTAATGAAACTTGGCCACAAGAAAGGCGACATTTCAGCCTGAAGATAAAACCCAGGTCAATGAAAATCAATAGGCCGTCTCCTGGATAAACAACTCACCATCTCTGCACCATTTGAACTGAGGGAGTAGTGAGCAGCTTGTCTGGCAGGAGGTTGATCTCCTTCATGATGTTGGAGAGTCTCACCGGGAGCTCCTGCCTCAAAAAGACAAAGGATGTCTTTTCACAGGCATTGATTGAACCTGAAAGTTAGGGGTAAACGGAGACAAAACAATTCAGATTTTTCTCACACAAACACAAAGTTTTAATTATTCCTTGCTGTTCTACGTTTTGAAAGGTTTCGAAGGGTTTGAGCAAGCACATCCATCAGAAATTTTATTTTGAATTACTTGAGAGCTTTTTGAATAAATAAAGTAAAACATGATGCATCTTTAAAAAAGACCCATTTGCAGGTTAGAAGTTGTTTCTGTGAACAATTATAGAGCCAGATAAGTACTGATAGACATAAAAAAATGTATCTGATGATAGATAATGGTCTGAGAGAGAAAAAAAACAATAGCTTCAGCAAAAATAAAATATTTTTTCTGTTTCACTTTAAGTTGCCAAGTTCTTCAGGGCTTAAACCATCTGAGCAAGCATATCAACCTAGCTTTAAAGTTTGGCTTATTTGAGTACATTTATCTTTTCATTAAAGTACAACTATTCCTTCATATAATTTTTTTTTGTTTTGTTTTGTTTTTTGTTTTTTTGTGTGACCAGGTAAGAGGCTAAATGGTGCAGCCTGAGTTTGCAGCAGATCTGATGCAACACTGAGCGCCTGTGAATATCACATCACAGCAGGCCCGTGCGCAGCAGATGCACGCTTTGAAATTCACAGTTATAACCCACAGCATGAACGAGTGTTGCAGAATTGAGCTTTGATTTAAAACAAAGCTTTGCTGAACGTGGGAAAAATCAAATTGGAGCTCAACTCACCGAAATCGATGAACTGCTTCATGGAGAGCGGAGACGGAGAGAATTTGGAGAAATGCTCGATGTGCTTCGGCGCGCTAGCCAACGCGGCGTTTTTCATTATAAAGCGGACAAACTTCATGATGGCTTGTCAGATTATTCCTTTTTTTTCCTTCTAGGTCCAGTACGTGTCAACAATAATGCCGAAGGGAGGCTCTGCCCCCCGTTTTCTCTGAGTGGGATGGTTTCTAGCTGCTACGGCTTGCGGCAGGAAAGAAAATACTGATCCTCGACCAATCAGATGATAGGAATTTTATTTACCCTCCGGAGTGACCAATCGGAGCTCGCTAGAGGGCGTGGCTAGTTTGGACCCTCCCAGAAAGGAAACGCTTCCAGAACAGTTGAAGCAACGGCTCAAGTAAACATACGTGCTGTTTGGCAGCCCCACTTCATTCCACGAATCACCTACAGTAACTTTGGTGGGGGTGTAAATATCAGATAGATATCAAGTGGGTTACTTAGAGTTTATATAAGGTTAGAATTTACTTTTGACTGTAAATCCAAACAATTAACTTTAATATGAGACATTCAATGTGAGTGTGACTAAGGGTTTCAACATGCATTTGTATTTATGCCTGAGCCTTGACTTGGGCCCTGCAGGGAAATTTACCTTTATTATGTTTAAAGTCTCTAACAAGTTTTTTTTTTTTCTCACATCAGTTCTGACCAGATTCCCTGCTGAACAGAAAACATTCCTACAGCACTACCATGTTTCATAATAGAGATGGTGTGCTAAGGATGATGTACAAGGTTAGTTTTCCATCACACAAAGTGTTTTGCATTAACACCAAGTTCAGTTTTGGTGTAATCTGACTGGAGCACTTTCTTCTACGTTTATTGGGTGAACTATGTGGCTTGTGTCAAATTGCAATCATGACCAAAGATTTCTTTTAGAAATTGCTGCCCTCTTAACACACTCTTAACACACCTACATAAACACCTGTTTTGTGTGTACAACAGGATTCATTCATCCATCCGTCTGTCCGTCTGTCTGTCCATTCATCTATGCTTTTTAGTATACTGTGTATAATCAGTAATCAAATGAACTGTTTATCAGCTTTTACACCCATTCATTAGGATCCCATGTGAATCAGATTTCTTCACTGAAAGATAAAATTTCCAACCTTCTCCTTAATCTTCATGATGACACAGTCTGGTCCACTGCTACTTGTTTACGCCCTCCCAGTTCCCAGACTGAATGATTCTCTGGAAGCCCGCCATGTACAGTTTTGAATAGAAATGCCTTCATCAGGGAACTGGCTGTCCTAATCAAATATCTTGTTACATAACCAGCGACTGCGTCAGCACCTCTGGGATTGTCTCTAGAAAGCCAGCACGAGTGAGCTTTAAGTCAGAACATATTTTACTTTGTGCACTTTATTGTTTTGAAAACCATAAAAGACAAAATGATTTAACAGTGAATAGTCAGATGTTTGTACATGAAGATAAAGATGAGATATTATTGTAGTTTTCACTCCTCGTATGAGCATGAAATATGATCCCTGCTGAGCATGATCATCACATGTACACGTCGGGGTTGGTTGTTTTTGTTTTTGATGCTCTAATCCCAGTGTCTTCCAGATCATTTTACATGTTGTCACCTTACAGGCACAAACATAGGAAGGATTTCAGAACAGATTCTGTAAACATATCAGGCTAAAATTGGATTGTTTGGACCGACAAACGTCTGTAAAAGGAAAGTAGAGCTTGGACTCAAAAACAAAAAATTTTTTACCTTGGACTTAGAAAAGAACTAAATAACTAATATGCCCACTACCAAAGTTCCCATTGGCTTTGGATTCTGTAAATAACAGTGGATATGTATGTAAAAAATGTAAAAAGTTAGGTATTTGAAAGATTTTGGATTGTGAGGGTTAACACTTAACATTCAGGGCATGTCCAGACGTTACTCCATTTCTGCTCATGCAAATCTGCAAACCAAAGAGAAAGTTTTTAACTTCTGTACAACTAATTTAAGTGTTGAAAAATAAAATATGATTCAATGAGAATATGTTTTTTCTTATGCATGTCACAAATGCAATGCTCTTGGTGATGTATACAGATTTGCTGAGAATAACACTTTAGACAAGTTTAAGAATATTGTCTACCATGGAAAACAGAATTTTTGAAAATTGGCATATAAATTTGCATGTGACTTATATGTCCAGATGTCTTTACTTTTTAGTTTATCAGGTTATTTTAGGTTTGCAACGCTTAAATTGCACAACATAGCATCATTTGCTTTTATATATGTTGCAATGATAATTGGTTCTTTTGAGGCAATTGATTTCCATAGATTTAAATAAAAACAACTTATTTTCTGTTACTATAAATTGTAACTTTGTATTTAACTGAAAACGATGGGTGAATATAATAATCATTGATAATAATAATTTTTCTTAATGACAAAGTTGATCTGGATCATTAGAAAAACCTGAACTAATGAACTGAAGATGATCAGTAAAATAAATATTTTGCAGAGACTTCACAAAGACCCTTTGCTGATTTTCAGAAGTGTGAAAAGGTAGAGAGAAGGTGCTGAAATATGTATGATCCGCATCAGGGGTAAACAGATATTCGTCCATTCCAGCTGAATCAGTAATACTCCAACAATGTATTAATCAGTTTATAATGAACCCATGAAGAACATAAAATTCTATTACCATAATATAATGATAAGCTTGATCTTAGTTTGGCCTGAAACTGCAAGTTATTTTTCTCAATAGCCTCAATGGGAACTGTACTAGTCAGAGGAGAGGCCAGTATTTTTCCGCACCCCATCAGGCTCCAGTCCTGCCAGTTGTTGGCTCCAATTCCCTACAGTCAACAAACTGCCAGGCATGTGAGGCCTAAATGTTTGGGTATTCTGTCACAGCCGTGCTGCTTGAAGGGTGACCAACTGGACAATAACAGCCCCAGTGGAAAATCCTCTCTAGGCCCGGGGGAACTGTCGATGGACTGTTACCCCTGTGATCGCTTTGGATTCAAAAGATGCATCGAAATGCAAATGGTTGCATTCCTCTGTACACAAACATAAGTTCCCACTTGAGCAGGAATAAATGCTCAATGCACTACCTGTGGAAATGCCATTTAGTAAATATTCAAACTTAACAGTGTTTCTGAGGAGTGTAATCACCAAGACACTAATGCTCCACTGGTGAGTTTCTTTTCATGCAACAAAGGGTAATAGTTGTCTGATTACCTTTGTTGGATGAATACATGTAATCAGACTGATAAATGGAGGTTTCACAGTATCATTAGTATCACTTAAAAAAAAAACGTTGATGAGAGCTCTGAGAAAAAAAAGTAGATCTCAATGAAAGAACAGTGATTTAAAGTTTCATTTATTTTCCAGCCTTGCATGAGGAATCAAGTTGGGCTCCAAGACCTTTAGCACCATTAGGTCAGGGTGCTCAGATGATGTCATACATCTAAAATAGCTAAAAAAATAAAAATAAAAAAACATTAAGGAAAACTACCAACAACTTTATATCTCTCTTTTGGATACATTTACAATTGTATCCAGTTGTATTTACAGCTGGATTCTAATTTTCCTAATAAACTGTGTATATTATTTAATCAATAGCTTGATTGGATCTCAGCCATTGAAATATGACAGTGTACTTTGAAAGTATATTTACTCCAATTAAAACTGCAGTCATGTGGGCATTCCTCTATCACTTTTACACAAATGAAAATTCAGATTTTGCCTGTTGTTCATAATAGCTGATAGTTGTTCATCAATTTTCAAATCTAGCCAGACATTCTCAATTGGATTTAGGTCGGACGTCTGACAAGCCCATCATGCTTTGAACCACATGTTGCACTGCAGCTCTGACTTCTGGATTTTTGTTCTCCTGAGAGGCAAACATCTGTCCAAGCTTCAAGTCTAAAACTTTTCTTCCAGGATTGGCCACTATGTTGTATCCATCTTTCCATCAACTCTGACCAGTATTCCTTTCTATGCTGAGGGAAAACACCCCACAATCATAAGCATGTTCCTCTGTGGAAAGAGAGCCCTCAGGGTGTAGCGGCAACTCATAAAACATTTCCTCTTTTTGTGAAAAGGCTCAACTTTGGTCTCATCTGACCAGAGTAATTTCTTCTGTAGTACTGATGAGTCCATGAGATGACTTTCTTTCAAGCAGGACTCTCTTCTGGTCACTACTCCACAAAGGCCTGGTTTTCCAAGTGCAGAGCAAATGGATTTATTATCAATAGATTTTTCCATGTGAGCTATTGATCTCTGCAGCTTATAAAAAGTTAGTACACACTTTTCCTCTGTTTCCCTGATTGTTTCTTATCTAGCCTAATTTGGGCTATCTTTTTCTTGGCATTTTTGCAGTTGTGTCATCGTTGGATGAACACTGCTCCGAAAATGTCAGTTAACTTTTTAACCTAACACCTCTTTAATGTTTTCCACATCGTAATCATTGACCAGTCTGTGTTAATTGGTCCTTTTTGTACACTAGATTTTACTTAAGGGAATCAGAGAAAAGAGGGGTTAGGGGGAGGATCATTACAAATGCTTGCCACACTTCTGATTTTTATTTTGAAAATATTTTGAAACTCATTTTCTGCTCGGTACTTTGCGAATATCTACACATTTTCAATCAAACCCATCAAACGTTTTTGGTTGCATCATGACAAAATGCAAAAAAAAAAAAAGTTAAAGGAATATAAATCATTTTTGCAAGGACCAGAAGTTTAAACAAAGTTTGTAAAAATTCAGATGTGTGTTGCATTGATGACTCAGTAGGAATAAAAACATTTGTTTGCAAGGTCAGGATACTGAAATTCTGGTCGGAAAAAGTGAAGAGTTATGGTGTACAACACTGCCATCTAGTGCCTTGATAAAGTAATTGTTTTAAGGAAAGTCATATAAAAATTGACAAATATGAAGGCAATAAGAACAACGCTATAAAAGTGTAATTTAAAAAAAGATGATTTAATCTAGCCTGAATAAAGAGCTTTCTGGGTTAAATAGTTTATGCACCAGTCAGAAGCTGAACTACAGGATCATGTAAATCAGAAGTTTTTCTTTCAGATTTTTTTTTCAATCTTTTGGCCAAGTTTTGTCATAGATTTTGAGTTGATTAAGGTACAGACTTTGACTGGGGCATTCTCACATTAGTTTTGGGTTTATTTTCCACTATAATAAATTCTTGTCTTCATCCATATTGTGTTTATTGCTAATTGGGGCCTGC